CAACAGGATGGCTGCCAAGTGTCCAACCCCCTATCTCCCTCCCCTTCAGCCCTGCCTGCAGCGAGGTGTTGGGGCACCTGCCATATTCACCACTCCCATCACTAGCATGTATCATAGAATCATAGACTTGTTTAGGTTGGAAAAGACCTTTAAGATCAAGTCCAACCGTTAACCTAGCACTGCCAAGTCCACCGCTAAGCCATGTCCCTAAGCATCACATCTACACATCTTTTAAATACCTCCAGGGATGGTGACTCCACCAGTTCCCTGGGCAACCTGTTCCAATGCTTGACAACCCTTTCGGTGAAGAAATTTTTCCTAACATCCAATCTAAACCTCCCCTGGTGCAACTTGAGGCCATTTCCTCTTGTCCTATCACTTGTTACTTACCGACACCCACCTCACTACAACCTCCCTTCAGGTAGTTGTAGAGAGCAATGAGGTCTCCCCTCAGTCTCCTTTTCTCCAGGCTAAACAACCCCAGCTCCCTCAGCTGCTCCTTGTGCTCTAGACCCTTCACCAGCTTCGTTGCCCTTCTTTGGACACGCTCCAGCACCTCAATGTCTTTCTTGTAGTGAGGGGCCCAAAACTGAACACGGTATTTGAGGTGCAGCCTCACCAGTGCCAAGTACAGGGAGAAAATCACTTCCCTACTCCTGCTGGCCACACTATTTCTGATACAACGAAAATGAACATAGAAGAGAAATAGTTTAAAATTACCACTAATACACCATTAGTGACAAGCTTTTCAGGAGGCACTGGACTGAAAGAGAGGAAAAAAAATGCAATCAGAACTAATATGACCTAAATACATCCTTAAATGAACACCAAGGAATAACACTTTCTTTAATGGTTGCCATGTCCAGCATAGTCTCAAATATGTCACTGATTTTTAATTTTGGGAGACATCTGAAATGTGGCTTCCTTATTTTTTAGTCATAATAGTAAACAATAGTAGTAATAAGCACAGTGGCTGCAGTTCTTATTATCCTTCTCCCTCTTCCAGAAAATAATGGGATAAATTAGTATCCAGGATGATTCGTGGTAGATAAGGAACACAATGTTTTAGCCAATATGCAACTAACTTGATAAACACCAGCTGCTGCTGTGATGCTGAGCATTTTAAACTACATTATACTAAATGGTACCATGTGTTTGACTGCTTGCTTTTGCAAAGTACAGTTCTTCAGTCCTGTATGGGTTTTACTCACATGCTCTCTGATGCAAACTCAACGTCCAGCATCTCTTGTGTCTGTAAAAGATTAATTCATTATAAGCATTTGAATTCATTTTCTTTCTCACTAGTTATGGTTGTCAATGATTACTCTATCTGCTGAAACAGCTCTTAAAACCAAATTTCCCTCCTGCTCTAGGGTATGCTTAGATGAGTGAAAACAATCGAGTTAGAGTGATTTTGGAAAGTGTTCTCTGTCCTTCGTTAACCATCAGTCCTCAGGCTGACTGCACTTGTCCATTCAATGGTAAGGCAGAGTAAAATGGCCACACAGGCAATCCCCAGTCCTAAGCCTGCAGTAACTGTTGGCTTAAAACTGTCTAAAGCCTTGTTTTTTCTAGATAACATTATCAGAAGACTGATACCGTTGGATAACAGATGGCATTCTCAATTCTTCTGATCGAAAGGACTCCTGTAACACGGACAATACATTCACCAGTCACAAGACAAGTCAATAGACTGCCTGTCGATATCACCATAGAGCTGAATACCAATACATACCCTATAAGAAAATTCAGTGAAACAGCATATCTATAAAAGTATCTAAATTGGACATCCATATCCCATGCTGAAGTCATCATGTATGAGTTCAGGCACACTGAAGTAAAAAGATAGTTACAGTAGTTGGCCATCAACGGGTTTTAGCACCTCAGCATGGATCTTTGTGTTATATTCAGGTATACACAAAAGAATTATAGGGCAGGGCATCAGTTTTTAAGTGAATACTCCAACATCTGTGCCAGAGTATGTCCAAACTCACAAGTGCGGGTCCCAGGAAAATAAATTCTCATAGAGAAACTTTGTGTAATGGTAATGAAGTCTTTTATCTCCAGCAAAACCTATTTGAGTAACAGGGTCAAGAAAGAGAGAAAAAGGGAGCTCTGGTGTCAGAAAAACCCTACTATAAGGTTTGAGGAGCTAGTAAAAACCTTCAGGATTATGTCCAAGGTAGGGAGGTAAACCTTGTCCGCTTTGCTGAACAAGGTTTGGAAGGTATTTTACAGGATACAGGAAGTGCAAACCAATAGGAAATAAACCCTCCCACCTACAATTGCTTTACAAGAAGTTATTTAGGAGGTAATACCAAAAATGTATTTCCTTCCTGTGGGCAAGGCAGTTTTACTCCTCACCTTCGGATTTAGCTGGAAAGTCAAGCGAACAGTTTCTCCGAGCTGGATTTTAGCAACATCAAAGAGGACAGTGAAGAGGAGGTCATCTTTAGTGATTGCATTTTCATCATAGACTTTCAGCTCAAGAATATTCTGTGAACAGAGGTACAGGATTAGGAACATCTCTATTTTGAGACCTTACGGAGGCACAAGATGACGTGCTCAGCATGTTAAGGAAGACAGAGAAAGGATGGGAAGAAGTGAGAGGGCATGCGCAACCTTTTCATCCACACAGAGCTGAAGAAAGATATTCTGAACCTAACGTACTTGGGTTTGTGGCTGATTTTCCCCTGCAGAGTAATGTAAATGACAAATGCTAGTTGAATCATTGAATATGTAACTCCCACATTGAAAAACATGTTTGACCTCTAATTTGGTTTGAGGTCACCACTTTTCCCTGAATTGAAGAAAACCATCTAGTGGTCAGGACTTTATTGCTATTGGTGGAAAAAAAAAATCCTTGGATATAAGCAGTGATTAAAATATGTTAAGGAAGCACCATATAACTACTGCATGGTTGCATAATTATATCCTGTAAATTATTAAACAGATCACATGGAGATAATTACCATGGAATCTACAGAAACTGATATGTTTTTGTTAAATTGGTGACAAAATGCACAGAAAGCAGCAGAACAAAGGCCTATTTCCATCAGATTACATCCTACACCTTTCAATCTCCTCTTCCTTCCTCCCACTGCACAAATCTCCTCCTCTCCCTCCTCTGTCACCTGCCTGTTTGGGTGGACAGGAGGGGAAACAGCCCCTGCTATGCCTGGTTGGTAGCTGCACATGGGCTGGCTCAGAGATGCCTCGAAGAGTGCTGAGCAAATTAACATTAATGGCTGTTTTCTCAGTGGGGAAATAATTCAGTCCTCTCTCCATATATTCAGCAGCTCATTTTCATGTAAATTACAGGGACCACTTATCTCAGAGATTCCTACTTATCCATCAGATTTAACTGAAATTTGCTAAGATGTTCTATGCTTATTAAAGACACACAGACATGTGGTCTCACACACAAACACATATACAAAAAAGAGTAAGCACATGAGCTTTGCTGCCTTAAAAGTTCATAGTGAGTCACAGGAAGGTCCGTAACTAAATTTGATAGGCAATTTAATATACAAATATACTGAAAGGAAGATGATCCAGAATCCAAGTATTCAATTTTGACATCTATCATTTCTGTAAGAAACTGGTAGGTGAGAGATGGCAAGCTGTAGTGAACTTGAATTTGCAGTTTGCTGGCAGAAGACAGAAAGGCTGCTGCCCTTTAAGGCCATATACATAAATGCATCACACTGTGCTTCAGACAGAAAAACAATTCTGTTGGGGGCTGACAGGGTCAGCAGTGGGTTTCTGCCCAAAACGCTTGCTAAGAGAAACATACCGACAAGAGGCAGAGAAAAGCAGCTACAGCAGTTAGGTTTATAGGCCAGCCATAAATAACCTGTAAAGGATTACAGAAGGTAATGGAGGGGATATGCTTAAAAGCAATAGTTTGCAGTTTGTAGAAGGAAGACTTACACTGAAGAGCAGGTCAGTTTTCCTAGCTGTGATACTGTAACAGACTGTCCTTATTTGAGTAAAATGGCTGACGTTTTCTTAGCCACAGACTGGTTTGAAGTCCCTCAGTTACTCCCAACTAGCCAGGAGCAGCATGCACAGGGTGCTGGCTGGCTAAGGGAGATCTTCGGCTGCACTGCTGGGATGCTGTGTGGGAAGCAGCCAGGGCTCCCAGGTGCAGTTCACCGTTTCTATCCGCTCCTGACAGAGGTTATGAGGGCAGCATCGCTGGGAGCCAGGCGCTGAGCAGAGCCAGCCTTTGGTGGGGCTGCACGCCGCCAGATCCAGGCACAGTGGCCCTCCTGCAGACAGGGGAGCGCTGCCCACAGCACCAACCCGGGAAGCCCTTCCTTGCCAACTGTGCTTTGCCAGAATGTTCATCAAAACAGATGCCCGTTTTGATGTCCCGTTCCTGATGGGAACCAGCCCGACATACCCAAACAAGTTTTTCTGTGGCAGTGTATTATATGATTTTACTGAGCTCTGGCTCCCATGATTTGGCAAGATGAATATCTCAACTATACACAAGACAGATGAGGAGAAAGTAACCAGATCAGGAGACTCTGGCTCTGCTCAGAGGGTAACGAGCAGAGCAATTGCAGTGTATGCGGAGAAACCTGTGAGAGCCTTAACTTAGTCTGTTGAGCCTAGACAGTGGTGAGACAGCAGTGACAGACATGCCAGAGCACTTTGGTTGTCCCAAATCCCCAGGACACGTTTTGTGCAGCCCACACTGAAGCCACAGTGACCACTGCCACGCTGCTGTTGCCACATACTGAAAATTATTGGAGCTAATGCCACATGTCTTGCCTCCTGCTGCAAACTTACTGCAAAGTAAACGTAAAGTCTTCCCAAATACTACTCCATGAAGAACTAGTTCAAGCAGCTTCCTGTGGCCAAGATATTTTTTTCAGCTGTTACATGTGGTATCGCAATTTTTAAAGACCTATCAGCCACAAACCATTGCAAGGAGTAGGTGTTCTGGTGCAAGAGTTGCAGATCAGTGGGTGTTTGTTCCCATGCAGCAATGTTTTTACCTTGCCTTTCACCTCCCTGCTAAACCTTCAGAGCTCAGTGAAATTGTGCCTCACCAGTATTTCAAAAGAAGTCGGAATTTTTTTAGATTTGTAGG